GAAATAAGTGCATACCAACCACTCCAAGGCAGTTCCTATTTTGCATTACCAAAAATATGGGCCAAGCCTCAATTAGGAATAATTAACCTTCAAAATACAGACGAAAGATGTTTCGAAGCATGTATGAAAGCTTATTTAGCAAGTGAAGAGGCCTGTAGACAGGGTCGAAGAGCAAGAAATCTTCATAATGTTAGTAGGCTACAACGCTTTAATAATATACTAGACTTCTCTGGTATAAATTTTCCATCCACATTACGTGATATCGATATATTTGAAGAAAATAATCCAAATTACGCAGTAAATGTGTTCTATCCTGCGCCAGAAAAAAATGATAAAGAGCAAACAACTAGAAAGTTGGACTCACTCCGTTTATCAGAGTATAATTATCAAAGAAAGTATATGGTGGATTTAATTTTATTTACTGAAGGAGAGGAAGATTTGAGGGATCGCCGTAATATTAGTGAAATCCCTCCAGGATTAAATACTCATTACTGTCTCATTAATAGTGAAAATGGATGGAATAAGATCATGCGAAATTGGAATAAACATCATGGGTATAAATATTTCTGCCGTCACTGTATGATTGCCCCATTTTCAAGAAAGGATCTGCTTGAAGAACATATAAAGTACAACTGCCATGGTCAAAATAATCCTAATGCTGGGCAAAGAGAAATCTTCCCGGAAAAAGATAAGCACATTATGAAATTCGAAAATTATAAGGCAATGGAAAACGTACCATTTTATTTTGTTAAAGATCTCGAAGCAAATAGTGATCCAGTAGAGAATAATATTATCAATGAAAAGACCGTTAAACTACAGAAGCAGAAGCCTAATAGTTATAGCTATGCATTGATCCAAACAGATGGGAAGCTTGCAAAAGAAATTGTTAGGCGACTTGGAAGAAATTATCAAGCCAAAGTTGCGCAATCCAGAAAAAATAAAAATAACAGAACGTGATTGGCAAACACATAACTCTGCCAGAAAATGTTATATATATGAAGGTCCTCTATATGAAACCCGATATAATAAAGTAAAATATTTCGATACTTCCAGAAAATTCATAGGTGCATCACATTATGGCTGTGTTAAAATCAAA